GAAAACAATACCATAGCATACTAGTTCTGCAAGTCTTTTTGCTCAACTTTGATTGCAAATGTCAAGAGACAACAACTAAACAGTAAAGCAAGTTTTGCTGACACGGGAATGCTTATTTAACTCGGTGGCCATAAAGCAAAATGTCACCAGAATAATAAATTGGTTATAGTTATGTCACTGCTCTCCATGTCTGCAAGTTTATGCTCTAGAGAAAGTTAAGGGCATGCGTTTGAAATTGCGTCGCAAGTATTTCGTGCAGGCGATATCCTGATAGGTCCTCCGCTTGTAAGAGGTCGGCCAACGTGGTCCGGTCCCGGAGCCGTGGCTGCCTTTATGGTCTTAATTGCGGCGCGTAATTCACCAGGTAGAATCCTGGTGGTATTTCATCAGTGGTATTAACGCGGTTTGAAAAGGGTGTTGATGAGAGAAAGAGATAGGTTTAGAACCGCTTCGTGATTGATTCCATCTTCTGTCGGGAAAATGTACGAGTCCGCCTTCCTTTAGTAATGCTATCAGCGGAACGAGATGGCACAGAAGGTCCTTGCGGTGCTTCTTTAGACTTCTGCCTCCTTGTGCTGCTTCCAAAAGTTTCCATTGCCTGTACTTACAAAAATCTTTTGCAAAGCTGTTCTGCAACTGGTATTGACTACAGTCGCTCGAGGTGTGGTGCAGGATCTCCTCAGTGCTCTCCTTTTTTCCAAGCAGATCTTTGGTGGCTTTCCAGTTCGTTCCAATTCGTTATTCGAGGCATTGAGGCACTCTCATCGTAGGCTCTCAGTCCTCTGAGAAGCAAGTAGGCCTTCCCTGGGTCTTTCCTGAAGGGCCAGTCGAAGTGGTTAGTAGCTCCTCCAATCTGATGCCGTCGCCCACAATTTCTCTCCCTCTTCCATCAAGGTGACAGATCTTATTTTCCAGTTAGCTGAATCGCTCTTTTGCTCGAAAGAGAAGGCGACCTGGATGAGCACCGTTGGTTGATGAGAAGTGCTTGATCTCCGCATGGGTCGTACCGTTGGGCAATCCCCATGTCCACCGTCGGTGGTCTTTCTTTATGAAGATGAAG